CCAGTAATTTTCATCGCTACCAACTATACTGTTTTCACTGGCAGTAACTAAATCCATTTTCGAACACATCCAGAGAGTGGGCATACTGGTTATACTGTGGTAGCTGCTTGTTCGTTCCCCGACGCGAAGTCGGCTTCGTGTCGAATTGAAACTCGTGGCCACATAAGATCCGACCAATCGCAGCGCGAAGACTCATTCTTTCCGTCCCAATTGGACAGGATATCGAAGGTCTGTTCGTTTTATACCCAATTCCACCAACGCAGTTGAACTTTAATCTCGGTTGCCATTAGCTGAATTTCTTCTAATTTTATTATTTCGAAATGGTAGAATTATGAAATAAAACGTCTCAAAAATAAACTGGAAGAAAGATTAGTTTTACACAAAATGACTCTCTCTCAGTAGACCCCGCAAAATAGTATCGTGTGCCGTTGGCTTAAATCCTGATTGGCTCTCGTAAGCAATTCAGTAGGAGGAATAGTATCGTGTGCCATTGGCTTCGTTCAAGAGGTCGTGCGCGTTGCGATTTTTAGGTTAAACTTTTACATTCAGGAGATTCAGGTTATTGGAGAGGTAGGTGCCTTCAGCTTCCCCATTAATCTTCGCATTTGTTTGTGGATAGAACATCGTAAGTAATTCCAGGCGGTAATAGAGAAATTTTGTTCCTTTTCTTCAAGAATCTTTTATCATCTACAGTATAATCTGATGTGAAGATACCTTTCGCCTCCAAGGTTAGAGTGATCTTGAACTGGAGATTAAAGAGACCGAAAGGAACAGCATGGAGCTTATTTTATAAAATTTTTCTGTTCTTTCCGTTTACTTACAGACGCCTAAAATGGAGTACATTAAAGTCCCTGACGAATTGCAAAATAAGGGAATGGTGTATGTATAACATTCTGTAGATATTTAAAAAAATTTAATGCGCAAAAAGAAAAAATGCCTTATATGGTCGGGCTGGATCTTTCAATGCCTAATATTTTTTTTGCATATGCATCCAACAAAGTGAATTGTGCGCCGATAATTTTTAATCTTGAAATATATTTCTATCTAAAGTCGAAATAATTCACATAATTGAATTGAAGTAAGTAATTTAACAGAAAAAATAATCAATTTTATGAACGACATTTATTGTTTTGTAAGAGAAAATTCAATTCATTTTAATTGCGAGCGCGTGTAAATGCGACTTTTTCTACCTGTAGGCCCTGCTGCGAATGTGGGACCGCCATCGAGCCAAATCCTGCCAATATGTGCGTAGGCTGCTTGCGTTCCCACGTCGACATCACTGAGAGCATTCCCAAGCAAGTGACGCTGCAGTTCTGCAAGAATTGCGAAAGGTACGACGTGTTTCTAAAGATACACCAAGGTGTTGCGCACCAACTCGCTCAAATTGACACTACGTTCTTATAACAGATACCTTCAGCCACCTAGCGAGTGGATTCACGCCGCGCTGGAATCCAGGGAACTCTTGACGCTATGTGTGAAAAAGTTAAAAGGAATGAACCGTGTGAAATTGATAGATGCCGGTTTCATATGGACAGAGCCGCATTCCAAAAGATTGAAAGTAAGCTCCACATATATGGTACAGGGAAAGTTTTATGTGCGATACTTAAATCGCAAGTGAATTTGAGAACTTCAATTGACATTCAGTTGCGCCGATAGTTAAACTATACACAATTGAATTTTATATAAATACAATGCACCAGGAACAATTTTATAATATTTGTACTTTTATTTGTACCTTGCTCTCTTGATGCTGACAGTAATTATATAGTTGTTGTTTGTACCAATTAATTTTAAGCGTTAAAATCAAATATTCCATTTTCATTTCTGATATATTTCTTAGGTGAAGCTAACTGTTCATGCAGAAGTAATTGGCGGAACAGTTTTGGAGCAAGTATTTGTGGTCGAATACATCGTAAACAGTCAGATGTGCGAAGATTGTCACCGTACGGAGGCTCAGAATTACTGGCGCGGATGTGTAAGTTTTCTACAAGAAAGAAATTCATATATGAATGATTGCACACTTCCTTACACGTGTCGCGTTGTCTCTTATAGGTGCAAGTCCGGCAGAGAGTGGCTAACAAGAAAACGTTTTACTACCTAGAACAGTTGATATTGAAACACAGGGCACACGAGCATACACTGGGCATAAAGCCCGTTCATGGTAATTGTTGCGTTTCACGAAAGCTTTCTCATTGCTGATAAAATGTATATTGCGACGCATCGAACGGATAACAGATACGTAAAGTGTGTTCTAATGCTTACAGAGGGTCTGGACTTTTTCTTTGCAAACGAAACCACAGCTAGGAAAATGATTGATTTTATAGTAACGGTCATACCGTGCCGCACTCAAAACTCGAAGAAATTAATTTCACACGACTGTCATAGTAATTTGTACAATTACAAGTTTACATTCTGGTATGTATACATGGCAGCACATTTTTTTTCGGTATATCTCGAGCTCGTTAAATGCCTTTATTGCATTATTTACAGCATTGAGCTCGTTCCGCTCTCGAAGGACAGCGTAGTTTGCCTACCACGGAAGTTGGCTCATCAATTGGGTGGCATCAGTCCTGTTTGTTTGGTATACCGAATTACAAATTCTGTGCATCTTATAGACCCTTCGTCAGGGCAAAGTAAGTTATGTCAGTTATAATTTTAATAATAATTTGAATTGATGCTGAACAGTAGTACGTTTCATTTAGTCGCTGAACTTGATTCGACTGTTTACTGGAGATATAACTTCAATAGTATATGCGATCCGAAACAATTGACAGAGTATATTGTAATGGACATCGAACCAATAAAGCATAAAGGGAGAAAAAATTTCCCAGGACAAGGAGCTATTTCTACCAAAGTAAGTTCTTCTGTAAAATATTTCGACAACAATATGAAATATAATATTGTTGAAAAGAAAAGAAATATTTATCTTCTGGACACGAGAAACTTAACATGTGATTCATTCGAGATAAAAAAAAACTAATTTTTTATAACAAATTTTTTAGCATATCACAGCGGACGCATGGGTAGTGAAAGCAACTGATTTGGGGATAAACAATAATCCAATTCATACACGTACGCATTTAGGCCATGTACTTAAAGCAGGTGATTCAGTACTTGGGTAAGTTAAGTTTATTATATAATTTATAATAAACTTATATGTATGTAATACATGCACATAAGAGAGATATTTTACAGGGGCACACGTAATATGTTTTGTATTTGTTTATTGCAGCTATAATGTGAAAGACACCAATATTAACGATACCAATTTCGATAATTTGAGTGAAGATTCAATACCTGATATCATTTTGGTAAAGAAGTTCTACAGCCACAACAAGGCTGCCCGTCGCAAGGCACGAGTATGGAAGTTGAAGCATATTAACGATGAAGTAGTCAGCGTAAACACAGAAAACACGTATGTTGAAGAAACGATGTGCAAAATCTATAAGTTTTTCGTAAATTGTCTTATAACATCAATTGCGTTTTTTCACAGCGAATACAATGAATTCCTCGACGAACTGGAAGAAGATCCAGAAATGAGACAGAACATTAATATCTTCAGAGACATTCGGAAGCAGATACCTGTTGATACTAATGAAATAGATGCAAGCATTCCGCAGATAACGCTTGAAGAAATGATGGATGATCTTGTAATTGAAGATTAATAAGCTCGAACTTTTTATATAAGAATATATTTAGTATATATCTTATATATATATATGTATAGGTAGAACTTACAAGAGTAATTAAAAAAATTTTATATAAGTGTATAATTATATTTAATAACCATAATCAATAGTATATATATTTTATATATTTAATAATTAATAATATATAAAATTATATCTAATTAATAATATATAATTATATATTCCTACATACAAATTGAAAAATTAATCTTGCAAGCTCTACCTGAGAAATGTACTTGTAATCTTCGAAGAGCTTCTGCATTGTGACATAAATGTGAATTATTATAATAAATTGCAATAGTATATTTTCATGTATATCATTATCTAAAATAATCGTTCAATTTATCTTGCTAATATATTTTATGTATCAAGAATTACCAATACAAATTCAAAAATAAAATTAATGAGTGCATGATTTTTCATAAATACTACTCTATAAGATTGCAGTAGACCGTAACATATCATCTGTCACTCATTAACATTATTTAATGACATATTCAGTTAGATGCTCGCGAAATAGTTGGGTCTCGTAACAAATATAACACCATCTCGTAATAACGGCGTAACATCCTATTTATATCGTTTTATGTACACATACAGATCATACGATAGCATTGGCCCAAATTATTGGATTGATAGGCATAAGTTCGTCTCGGTTTTAAACAAAAATTTTAAACCTATTATATTTTGTCGATATACATGTAATCAGTGATATCAGCAATCTCACGAGTTTTATGACGATCAGTTTCAATCAAGGCTAAGATTTCGTGACTATCAACCTCTTCTTGAGCTATTTTAAAGCTGATTGAAACAAATGAAGGAAGTGGGGAATTATCTTAAAGATACAATAACACTGATAGTATATAACACTGTGTAATAACACTGCTGTGATAATACAGTGACACTACAATAAACCAGTCGCATCGATATGCAGTTCTGCAGGCTATTGTTTCTTGCACTTTTATTAAAAGTCGTACGCAGCGAAGTGACCAGTTATATAGGTATGACAAGCTATTAGATGAACTATTAGAATTCCAATTAAAAATTAGCAAATTTTATATCTACACTTATAAAAGATTTTAATTGGATTAGTATCATAAAGTAACACAATAAAGTTGATAAATATACGATGTTTATATTACCTATTGTATGAATTTCTCTTTGTTGCTAATTAATCAAGATGGTACAATCTTGATAGCAACACATGCAGGTGATCTTATTAAATGTTCACGTTACTAAGAGATTAAATGGGATTTATCGGTTGTGCCATCTTTAATCATCAATTACAATTGCGAACCTTGATAAAATTAATTTCATAGATTTAAATTTTTCCTTCACTTTATAGGATTGTAAAAGGATCACTTGAGATAAATTTACAAAGTAATTAACACTCATATTTGCTAACTTATATATCTTATATGTTTTGTTACGAAAGCAAAAAACTTAATTCTACCTGTTTTTGCAGATGACACAGTATCACACTTTACACATGAAATAAACAATTGGATAAAAGTACAGGAAGAATCTGAAGAATTTCAACAGTTAATCCATAGTCTAGCTCTTCCGACCAGCTTGCAGCGTGATGAGTGGCACACATTTATTGGTAAAGAAAGCAAAGATATTTGCATAGTATGCAAGTCTATTCTAAATAGTATTATAGAATGTCGTAAGCAAGGCATGTCAGCGGGAGACATAAGATGTAAAGTGATTAAACTTTGTACGCAACTAAACTTGGCAACTGAGCGAGTCTGCGACGGCGTAATAACTATCAATTTGGTAAGTAAATTTAATTCTTACGCAAATAAAATATAACGAAAAATTTTATTTTACCACCGTAATGTGTAGAATTTTCTTCGTAGATGGCAAAAACACATTTTTGACATGAATTATTTTCAACGTGTCCAATTACATGAACATTTTACTTGCAGCCAACAGTAATACATATCGTAGACTCGAAACCGAATTTAACAGCAACCGTAATTTGTGGCGTTATATTGGAATCAAAATCTTGCCCGCTTAATGACGAGGAGTTTAATTGGACAGTCAACATTGATAACGGTCCCCCAATACTGATTGATCCAGAAGACAGCAATGAAATCCTGAATATAGTGCAAATACCGGATATTCATTACGATCCTAATTACGAACCTTATGGCAATCCATATTGCGATGAACCAACGTGTTGTCGTAAAGGCCAAAACGACACAAACACGAGCGGCGAGGTGGCGGGCTATTGGGGAGATTACAATAATTGCGACAATCCGTGGCATAACGTTGTGGATGTCCTAGACCACATTAGAGCTCAACATCAAGTACGCAAACACCTGCATAATGATTTATAATCCTGTGAATTATTTTATGGAATGTTAATTTGCAGAATATTTCCTACGTGTACTTCACTGGCGACATAGTGGACCATGGTGCCTGGGAAATTACCATTGAGGGAAATGTAAAAAGTCTGAGCAAGGTCTATCTCCAAATTCACGAAACATTCAGAAAGATTCCCGTGTATCCCATTTTGGGTAATCACGAGACGTATCCCGTAAATCAGTGAGCTATCCAATTTTCTATATATAATCATATTTTGTTTGACTAGCAGTTATCTACTTATTCGCGTATTTTGAGATTAATATAGTATTGCACACTTATTCTAGATTTGCACCTAAGACTGTTACTAATAGTGAGATAAACACGCAATGGCTATATGAAATGATCGCTGATTTATGGATCAGTTTTGGGTGGTTGCCAGAATCTACGCGCTCTACCATTCTACAGGGCGGATATTATACGGTTTCGCCTAGGAAAGGATTTAGAATTATAGCCTTGAACAGTAACGTGTGTTTTCGTTACAATTGGTGAGTATATCAAAGCAGGTTTTAGCTGTGTGAGATATGGACAATTAATTTTATTTTATAGATTTACGATTGTATAGATATTGTAACTTATTGATTCTGATATTCGCAATAGATAATTTATCATAAGAACACGTTGTTATCAAAGACAATACTAGCTGCTTAATGATATCTGCTTGTATTATCAATCGAGGATATCCGGCAAATATTTTGAATTGTATTGTGTATTAAAACATTGCGACATTCAGCTCCTCCAATACCTATTATATATACTGTTAAACACTTAAATTTCTTCAGATAATCATATACTCGTTTTAAATGTAGAAGCACATAAATTAGATATTGTATTTTTCACGGTTTTATGAAAATAATTTCTACAGGTGGCTGTGGTATGCACCGAAAGATCCTTACGGCCAGTTGCAATGGATGGCGGATACGCTTTCGCGAGCTGAAGAGGATGGAGAGTTCGTGCACATATTAGCGCACATTCCACCCGGTGATAAAGAGTGTTTGAGCACGTGGAGAAGAGAATATATCAAAGTTGTCAAACGATTCAGCCACATTATCAGAGCGCAATTCAACGGCCACACACACACCGATGAACTGCAATTGTATTACGGCGGTGATGATAATAGCAAGATTAACAATGTCGCTTGGAATGGCGGTAGCATAAATACCAATCAGAACTTAAATTCCAACTACAAGCTGTATACTGTCGACAACAAAAATTATGTGAGTACCATATCATTCTGGTGAGGTACATGTGACAGTTATATGACAGTTATATTACAGGCGGTAAAAGATTTCGAGACTTGGATATATAATTTAACTTTAGCGAATGCTAAGCCTGACCAACGGCCATCGTGGTACAAGTCTTACTCGTTTAAGAAGGAATATGGTATTTCCGACTTGTCACACGATTCGCTGCAGGCCTGGTTGTCTAGACTAGCGAACGATAAAAGCCTGCTAAATCGCTATTACAGGTAATGTATAGATATTTGTGAGTTATTGTCTGTCAAGCGTTATATCTCAACCAGCAATAATTGATTCAGAAATTATTTTAAACGCGCCGACCCGGCACTGAGGAAAGAGTGCGACGTAAAGTGCATGAGACCTTACATGTGCCGTATCATTGTCAGCCTGGGAGATCACAGAACTAAATGCGAGAGTAATGATCAGTATCTTAATTGACTTTATATCTAATATACGTTGAAATCTTTTTAATTTCTTTTAGTTATTTTTGTACATTGAAGATGATCCAAAGTGGATCGAAACGTTTGTATTTCATGTATTTCACGTTTGATTATTAAATGACGTCGATTCGATGTCGATCGACGAATCATTTCTCACTGGATAGTAGTTTAATTTACGATATGTTTATGTCTTATGTCCGTGTCTACCAATGTAGATTAACTTTAATCTCAGCTTAAATTACTTCTTATCTTTTTCTAATTTTGAAAATTGGGAAAAGATATATAGTGAGTTGAGCCGAGATCGAAGTTAATTTGCATTGGTATAAATAGACATGTGTCTGTTAACGATGACACTGTATTTCAATGTAACATGTTAAAATTGGAATAAATATGCTTTTATTAAGCTTCATGGCCCTTCAATTATTTTAATTTCGTGAGTTAAAAATAATCTAATCTAATAAAGGCGATAACTGCAAAAGTCTTTCTATTTGTTTACTGTATATATGTATGTATGTATCACTTTATTTCCTTAAGGGTTAAAGTGGCGCTTTTGTAGGGAGCGTGCCCGAACCCTACTTGTTTAGTGACGCATATTGATTCTACCATTGATTCTAATTATACTATCTCTACCACCTCTTATTGAAGCATTTTCAGGTTGTTTGAGAGGATGCTGGAAGTGGGGAATTATCTTACAGATATAACAATACCGATAGTATATAAATGTACAATAACTCTGACCCAATAACAACAGTGGTGCTACAGTCGCTTCAATATGCGGTTCTTCAGGCTATTGTTTTTTGCACTTTTCTTAAAAGTTGCCAACAGCTACGCGATCACTAATTTAGGTATGGCAAATTATTAGATAAAATATTCGAATTTGCCCAGCGAGAAATGACTCGTCGGTTGATGTCAAAACGATGTCGAATCGACGTCAATTTGACAGTGTCGATGTCAATTCGACATCGCTTCGACGAATCATTTTTCACTGGGTAAATGATAAATTAGCAAATTATATATTTAAGGCTGGTCTACAATACATGGAGTAAGCTGGAGTAAGGAAATAAATCCATTTTATTTCTTACTCCTACTTCAACTCTTAGGTTTACTCTCGGTGAATCAAAATGCCATCAATCAGTGTTACAATTATTTTAAAAATCATGCCCGTATTTCAGCTTCCTTACACCAAAAGCTAGAAGTTAGGGCTCTCCCTTACTCCTTACTCCACGCTTACTCCACGTATTGTAGACCACGCATTAGTCTTAAAAGATTTTTATACGTTTATCTTTTGTTAAAAATCTATATTATTATATAGAGGGTGTTGTGTAATACTCGCCTCACCTCTTATTTACGAATAGAGCGGACTAGACTGAGTCGAAAAGACCTCTACCATTTCGCAATTTTTGCTTTAATAGTTAACAATTTAATACACATATTAACAAAAGATATTTGCTGGATATATAAATTGCAATATAAAATAATGTAATAAAGCTTAACGTAATTTTTATCCATTATCCATGCATATTATCAGTTTTTATTTGTGACTTTGATAACAGATATAGATAATCTTATTACGTTCACGTTTGCATCACGAGATTAAATAAAAATAATCGGTTCTACTATCTTTGATCGTCAATTAGGGTTGCGCAAATTGCTATATCTTCATAAAGTGTATCTCATAAATATAAATTTTGTCATCACTTTATAGAATTGTAAAATAATAATTTAAGAATTTCAAAGAATTAATTACAAAAAATATATACGGTCTTAATACGAAAGACGAAAAACATTCTGTTCGTTTTTGCAGATGACACGGTATCACATTTTACGCGTATAATTACTAATTGGGTAAGCACGGAGCCATGTGACAAACAGGAAGAATCTGAAGAATTTCGACAGTTAATCCATACTTTAGTTCTACCGACCAGCCTGCAGCGTGATAACTGGCATAGTTTTGATGGTGAAAGAGGCGACATTATGTGCGTGATATGTCAGTCTGCTTTAAATACTTTTCTGAAACTTCGTAGAGAAGGCATGTCAGAGGAAAGTATAAGATGCAGAGGGATTAAACTTTGTTCCGCACTAAACTTGGCACCTGACAAGGTCTGCGAAGGCGCAATAACTATCAATTTGGTAAGTAAAATCAATTATTATGCGAATAAAATTTTTATTTCGTCGCAATACGTAGGAGTTTCGTTATAGTAGCATTAATATATTTTTGGCATTAATCATTTTTAACATGTCCAATGTTATCCGAACATTTTACTTACAGCCAATAATACTACATATCATAGATTCGAGGCCGAATCTAACGGCAACCACAATGTGTGGTGTTTTATTGGATTCACGCTCCTGCCCGCTTAATGACGAGAAGTTTAATTGGACAGTTAACATTGATAACGGTCCCCCAATATTGATTGATCCCGAAGAAAGTGATGAAACTCTAAATATAGCGCAGATAA